ACCTATGCAGATGTTTTCCACATGTAGAAGGAAAACAAACTGCAGCACCATGAGTATGAAGAGAGGGAAGAGAGAAGGCTGCACCTGCTGTGTGCTGATGATATGGCTGTGAATTACATCCGTCCTCTGAAAGTGTCATGCTGCCTGAGTCGTTAATCAAGTGAACAGTCTCTGTACACATTTCAGAATAATACTGTATGTTTTAGTCCACTCTGATATAGTTTGGAATTTAAAGAAAATAGTTTTAAAGAACATTGTAAGCCACAAACTAACTACGTATGAATAACTTGAGGCTGCAAAATATATGTAGTACAATCATGTTGTTTTGGTAACTAGACTTTATAAACATTTTGAAGTGGGATTAAAGGAAGATAAATATGAAACCTGAATACTTAACACAGGTTTACTTTTTGATGCTGTTTATTGAAATATGCAGTTAAATATCAGAACAAGTATAGAGCCCTTTTCAAAAATCTTTCTTCCCTGCATCTTAAACACACTATATCTCTGTGTAAGTGCACGATATGTTCTGAAATAAAGTGTACTTTACTTTTTCATATTTAAATCAATATTGCACACCTGCCTGATTTCCATTGATCACTCAAGACTCTATTTATGTGTGGCGACAGTTAGGAAAAGTGGTAGGTAAATATAATTTCTGACAGTGTGACAGAAATAAGGAATAGTTCCCGCTCGGAATTGAGTTCTTAGGCTAATCATCCATGATTACAGCCTTCGAAGCCAAAACACACTCTATGTGAAAGAGGTTGTTTTCATCCGCATGCTGCAGCAGCACAGCTGGCTGACAGCGTTACCTATTCTCCCGAGGGCGCTCAGTCTCCTTCTGCCTCTACTGGACTGGCCCACAGCAGGTCTCGTAGCCCCCAGGGACTGTCCTGGGAGACCTGGACAACATTGGCAGCAGGCAGCTTAGCGGTGTCATTTCGCCGTGGTAAGCTAGGGACAAAAGTATCTCTTGTTGTTGAGAGCTGTTTGTGGTACTACTTTCCCAGCCCTGTGGAAAGGAAAGGACAGCCAATGACCAATGCCAAACAAACCTGTTCCAGCTCACCTGTGCACTGAATGTGGAACTGAGTGACCAAGATCTGGATGGAAACCATTGCAAATATTTCCCAGCAATGTCTGTGGAAGAAGCATTTAGCAGGAGCTCTCAGCAGGGAATTTAACTAACTGTAAATGACTCTGACTCCCTCCAGTTTGTGTCATCTGTTCCTAAGAAGAAGTAAACATTTGGTTTACCATCAAACCATACAGCACGTCGCTCAGTGTGATGCAAGGTGTGGACTGCAGTATAATAATACTTCAATGCTTAGGATGAGTGCGTGTTTATCTCATCACTCCATGAAGAGTTTATTGCACAACTGAGGAAGTAATGTGAATGGCAGTCTGATTAGAAACAGTTGCTGTTGATGAGCAGTGAATCTGTTTATTCCCTTTTCTGTGCAGTGCTGCTGGCAAGACAGACCTCTTTTGCTCAAACTACAGCTCAGTTTAGAAGTGTAAGCCATGTTGCAAATATTTGACTTGGCCACTGAAATTGAATTATTTTGGCACATAAATAGAAAAACAGCAACTTTGGCAACAATTATGCAAAGTTAAACCCTGGTTTAAAGCAAATGCTATTGGGTTTCCTTTCCATCCCAAAGAAAAAAAGGAAAAACAACTGTTTATCGCCTTTAATAAATATGTCTAAGCATTGTAGATGCAGCTCAGTTTTGTGGGTAGTGTTTAATAAATGTTTCTTCTGTTTCCTGAGAACATCTTATACTCTGCTGTTTTATTGTGATGTCAGTTATCTCTGCACATGCAGTGGAATTATTAAAGGATGGCTTATGCATCTGTTAAAATATACATTTATTCTCCCCCCTCAAAGTTATTGAAAAGCAGTAAACAAAGGCCAGCAGTATGATGGGTTGTATGAAATCGGCTGATAAAACCTGCGACAGGGCTATGTATTCACTCAGCAGGTAACAGAATCATTTGTTATTACTGTATATTACCACAGTGTTGAGTGTGGCAACTCAGACATAGCTATGTAATACACACTGACAGACTTTTGCTGTCTGTGGTCAAGTTTGATTAATGCATCACCAACATGACAGCTAACTAGCAAACAACTGTTTCTGCCAGCTCTGAATGGACAGACTGATTTGGCAAAATAAACTGCAATAAAATCTAGGAGGATGCGCTATCATATCAATCAGTGTGTAGAGTTATGATATTTTTGGAAGGCCTATAGCCCACTTACCTGCTGGTATTGAGCATTTCAGTTAGCAATAATACCAAGAACCACTACAGCATTGAGTGTTTAATTCAGATCAAATTATGAATCCTCCACTCCTTACTTATCAAAAAAGAATTGGTTTTTATGATGGCCTCGTCACTGGGGTCTTCTTTCATTAGTCACTGTAGCCCCACCTGCAGAACACAGGAAACACAAACGTCATTGCTATCACTGAAACAAGCAGTATGAGAGTTAGCCACTTAACTGGCTAACCATCATGCAAACCTTTAAGCCAGCTTTGTTTTCTCACAGTGGAGACTCAAAAGAAAGGCAGGACCAGTGCAGAAAAGGGCCAGCTTTGACAATTTTCACACAAAGGGAGCACTGTTGGCTAACAGTGAGTGGCCTGTTTCTGGGAGGTTTGCACTGTTCCTGGGGCCCATTTCATGGAACAGTTAACAAGGCCAAAGGAAACCCATGGACTGGAGTGAGAGTTAAGGCGTTCTGGGCCAAACCTGGGTCGGGCCCTTTGTACCCCACCTGGTTCAGATGCTTTCACAGAGCCAACTGGGGATGCTGGTTGCAGCAGGTGTCCTCTCATAAAGACCCACATCACACAGGCTGACTGACTGAGCTGCCATATTTGGGTTTTTGTGCTCAGGTATGAGAAAAATCAAGACCATAATGAAGTTTAAAAGTAGTTGACTTATTACTTTTATATTTTTATATTTTAACTATAGGCAAATGAGAGAACCAGTACTTTATCAGCCAGTTACTATTAATGTTGATTATAGTTTATATTACCATTAAATGCCAGTGTGGATTTAATAAGAATGCGGTTGGCTTCAGTGGTCTTGAGTATCAAAGAAGGAGTGGTTCATTTATTCATATTAAAGCAAAACACTGGCATTATTTATGGGGAGATTAACATTAAAAATAACAGACCTCAGCTTGAGCTGCTGGTACAGTCAATCACTCTGGAGTGCGCTAAGGGCAAATCAGTGTCAGTGTTTGAGAGGATACTTCCTCTAGCTGCAACTGAGATTGCTACAACCACAAAAGGAACACTCTCTGCCTTCATTTGATTTAGTCTTAATGGGAAGGAGAGCCCAGAAATACGGCTTGTGTGGTGAGAAGGGGAAAGGGGTGGAAAACGTGAGTAAAGACGAGAGAGAGAGATTAATATCCAGCCTTCTCTCCTCTTGACCACAGAGTGGGCATAAAGAGTCCAGCGCCTCATTGATGTCAATCCTAGCTGTGCCTATCCTGTAGTTTTCAGTTTGGTTTGGACAGTACAAGTGGCCTGACCTACAGGGGTTGGGAGGACAGGCCCAGGGTTTCCCACATCACTCAAGGGCCTCTGATAGGCGGTCACACAGGCCGATAATGACAGAGGGAGAGATTTAGTATTAAAGTCTCCTCTGTTGCCTCTTCTGCTCCTGTCTGACGTCAGGCTGTTAAATACGGGGATAAGAGCATGGCATGGCTTATGGGCAAGGGAGTTAGACCTGTCTTAAGTATACAGCCTTGTGTGAGAGAAGCCTGGCTGGGATCTCTTGGACTGTTGCTAAGGACACAAGCTGTAGACAGCAAGGGGGGATTTGGGATCACAGTCAATCATTAAAGGGATTTTTAC